CGCGCCTTCCTTCCCGATGCCTTTCCCGACGCGCCTTTCCCGACTGCCTTCACGACGTCATGCCCGACCCGACGCCCTTCCCGACGCCCTTCCCGATGCCCACCCCGATGCCCAGCCGCACGTATCCTCCAGGTCGGTCGACGCCACATTCGACGTGTCCTCATGCGGCTCCCATCTGAGCCAGAGGACTTGTGAATGCAGTTGGCTCTAGGACTTGCACAATGTGATTTCGTCAGCGGTTAGAGCTGATGAGGCCAGACATGCATGTTTGAGGAAACATCCTTCGTCGAAGGAACTCGGGCCCATTGTATCCTGTCGAGGCCGATGCGCGCAAATTGGTTTGAAATTGCGCGGATAGACAAAACGACCCGGATGACATCATTTCGGCGCATTACATCTCTTTGTCAGGACTCTCTAATGGATCGTTCTAATACAGTTTACGTTGACATGGTAGTTCATGGAAACGAGCAAGGTCTATTTCCGCATTTGATGAGTACTCAGAGCATACAGGGTCTGCAGTTTGAGGGTGAAAAGACGGTCTCTGAGACGTACTTATTTCTTTGGTGGCATGTACTGGATATGTGTCGGTTGAGATGTATAATCGGAATCGTATGGCCACGGCCTCCTGGGGCTTCATCTGTTGAAGCGGGCTGCTCCATCGAAGAAACAACCACATCGACATCGCTATCGTTCTGGAATGTGTTCACGCCTTTCGCAACCACACCAGTGCATGCAGAAGCGATTCCCAAACAGAAGACAGCCGTTAAACGAAAGTTGGCGAGCAAGGGCTGTCTCAAGACCATACTTGGTGGGGGGGGCATTTTGTAGCCACCTTGGAGCACATCGATCAACAGTGGAGGCCCTCTTGGGCTATCTGGAGCCATAGTTGGACAATCTTGGATCCCTCTTGAAGCTCTCTCCGGGCCATCGTGGTGTCCCTGGAGGGGCCAACATGGAGGACGTCGATCGAATTGGGGGGTCTTAGTTCGCGCTGCCTCCTAAAGTCGTCGCCTGGGACATTCTCGGGGAGCTCTTGGGTCATTCTTAGGCGCTCTTGGGGCCGTCTTGAAGTTCTAGTGGGTCCCATATTGGAACAGGGGTTGGAAGGATGTTGCCCGAGTTCGAAGGCGTCCTTTGAGGTTCAGTGGCCGCTCGAGGCCGTCTTGGAGCGGTCTTAGGGGCTCTTGGGTCAGATTGGCCACATTTTGCGCCACCTTGAGATATATTGATTCATTTGGGAGGTCAGCTTGAGCTCTCTGCGGCTCTCTTGGAGCCATTTCGGGCTATCTTGGGCCCGCTGACCGCTCGCGGATCCTCCCGTCCAGACCCAGTGGGAGGGGAGAGGGCGAGGGATCAAGTTTCCCACCAGTAACAAGCCGTCTCGCGCAGTCCCACCCGCCCGCCCAACACAGAATTAGCACCTGAATCTCAGCTGGACAGGGGCCGCCACCGACAATCGTCAGGATCAAGGTGCGCGAAACCCGCGAGGTGCGCCGCACGTGCCAGCTGCGCCACGCGCACCAGGTGCGCCACGTATGGCAAAATGTCTCGAGGGTGGGCAGAATCCCCACCCTGACACGTCGATTAGTGAATTGCCCGTTTTCGGTTCTCGAGAGGGCGCCGCGGCCGTCATTTTCCAGACTTTCGCCCGCCAGGTTTGGGCCTGAGGTTACTTTCACGAGACCACGTTTGACTAAAGAAGTTCCGACCACCCCCCAATGTCGACCCTCCCACCGTCCCTGTCAAAGCAATTAAACGCGAAGTAACGTTGGGTGTGTTGCGTGCGGCGTTGCGTGCGGGTGTGCCCCCACGCTCATTTTTCTGTTGTTTGTGTCACAGGGACGGTGGTCCTGAGCACAGCAGGCTGTGCAGTGGAGGCCCATGCCAAGAAACACCCTGCTTGCATCCAGGGTGCTCTGGGTTTGTTCGGTGTCGATGGATTTGCCATGGAGAGCGCGACGCTCCCACACCAAAAGTCGATGGACGTCCTGGGGTCTCAAGGTTGGGTCTCTTGTGGAAGGTTTCTTGTGGTCGGGCCCCTACCGTATGCCGCGCCCCGCCGTCCCTGGCAACATGAGGTCTCGTTCTTTTTTGTTGTACAACAAAAAACCGGATGATGGACGTGCACACGGCAGACAGGACGCTAGCATCCCCGCCATCCATGTCAACGATATGTGCAACGTCATCGCGAGGCGTCCGCGAATGATCCAGATGTCAGTGCAAAGTGCATGTTGCAGTGTTTGTTGGAAGGGATGGTTGAGGGGTGTAAGCACTGCGCACAGCAGGTGATATGCTGCCCCCACCGCCGCCTCTGTCAAAACACGATGCAATGTGATCGCGGGGCGTCCGCGCATCATCCAGTGTGAGGTGCAAAGTGTATGTTGTATGGTGGTTTCATGGGATGGTGTGTGGGGGGGGTGTTGGCCTGCGCGCAGCAAGCGATATCCCGGCACCCCCGGCGTCTGTGCCGATCTCGATGCGAAGCAGTCGCGGGCTTGCCGCGCATGCTCCAGATTTTGAGGCAAAGTGGCAGGGATGGTGAGAGGGGTGCGCATGGGGACCGCATGGGTCCAGCTTGGCTGCTACTTGGCCGGGGGGAGGGGGTGTTTCTTCTCTTGCTCTTTGTGTCTAGAGTTCCTCTGTCTGCTGCCGCCCGCCGGCTTCTCATCGTCGAATTCTTCGGCGTTTGAGCGTCCCTCCTTCCTCCCAGCCTCCCCCCTCCTTCCTTGCTCGCCGGCCAGTTCGCTAATTAGTGCCCTTACCTAGCTGTTACTTTGGTGCGGATTTCGCCGCCTCGCCACCGAGTCCAGAGTTCCGACCACTTTACTTTGACGTCGCACACGCACACACACCCTTCCCCCGTCCGCCCCGCCCCCTCCCCCCCCCGCTGCGCCCCGCAGCCCACCGCACCTGCCCCCCTCCGCCCCGACCATTTTGTTTTGGCGTCGCAAACCCCCGGCCTCCCTTCCGGCCCGCGGGTCACCGGCCCCCCACCTTCCGCCCCGACCATTTTATGGTAGTCTCGCACACACATACGCACAGATACACACATATATATACACACACACCTCCCCACTCCGCTCCGAAGGCTACCGCCACCCCCCTCTCCCCACTGTCCCCCGGCAGCCCAGTGCCCCCTCCGCCCCGATCAACTTGATTTGGGCGTCGCACCCTCCCCCTGCGCTCCACCCCGCAGGACACTGCCCCCGCCCCGCCCCGCAGGGCACCGACCCCCTCCGTGCCGACGCCCCGCAGGCCACCGACCCCGCCCCCCTCCGCCTTCGCCACTTACTTCATGTTGGCGTCATGCACCCGCCCCTCCCCCCCGCTCTGCCCCGCAGGGCTCTCCCGCCCCCCCTCCGCCCCGACCGCATCATGTTGGCGTTGCACCCCTCCTCCCCCCCGCCCGCCCCGCAGGCCACCGCCGCCGCCCCCCTCCGCCCCGACACTTTTCCTTTTGGCGTCCACACACAGACACAGACACAGACACAGACACAGACACACACACACACACACACACACACACACACACACACACACACACACACACGCACACACACACACGCACACCACACACACACACACACACACACGCACGCACGCACGCACGCACGCACGCACGCACGCACGCACGCACGCACACACACACACACACGCACGCACACACACGCACACACACAGACACACACACACACACACGCACGCACGCACGCACGCACGCACACACACACACACACACACACACACACACACACACACACACACACACACACACACACACACACACACACACGCAGACAAACGCGCACACGCACACACACAAACACACACACACACGCAGACACACGCGCACACGCACACACACACACACACACACATACGACACGTCCCCCCTTCTCTCCCCATTGTCCTTTGGCAGCTAATGCCCCGCCCCGACAGCTTTATTTTGGCGTCGCCCCCCTTCTCCCACTCCGCCCCGCAGGCCCCCGCCCCCGCCACCCTCCGGCCCGAGTGTTTTATTGTGGCGTCCCTCGCCCATCCCCCCCGCAGGACACCGCCCCCGCCCCCTCACCCCATTGTCCCCCAGCAGTCCACTGCCCCGTCCGCCCCGACCACTTCATTCGCTTCGCACCCCCCCTGTTCCCCCCTCCGCCCGGGCCCCCTTCCGCCCCGATCATTTCATTTCACTATCGCGTCTCACCTCCCCCCCTTCCCCCTCTGCCTCGCATGACACCTTGCCCCAGCCCAGTGCCGTAACCGTGGTCTAGGTACCAGCTCCCTTGGCCCAAGACTTGTCTCTTCTAGACGCTTCGCGTAACCCCACCAACCCATACAGAGGCGATGCCCAGACGAGTTGCCCACGGACGACGACGCCGACCACGGACGACAGAAGGACGACGCACGATGGACGATGGACGACGGACGATGGACAACGGACGGCGGACGGCGGACGGCTACGACGAAGACGACGACGACGACGGACGACGGACAACGACGACGACGACGATGACGACGATGGACGACGACGACGACGACAACGGCGCCGACGACGACGACGGACGACGGACGGCGGACGACGGACGACGGACGCCAGTCGACGGACGACGACGACGACGGATGACGAAAGACGGACAACGGACGGTGGACTACGACGACGGTCAACGACAGACGACGACGACGACGGCGACGACGGACGACGACGACGACGACGACGACGACGACGACGACGACGACGGACGACGACGACGACGACGACGACGGACTACGGACGACGGACGCCAGACGACGGACGACGGACGACGGACGACGGACGACGGACGACGGGCGACGGATGACGGACCACGACGACAACCGACGATGACGACGACGACGACGACCACGGTGACGACGACAACCACGACGACGTCGACGACGACGACGAGGACGAGGGACGACGACGACGTTGACGACGGACGACGATGATCCGGACGACGATGACGGACGACGACGACCGTCGCGAGGCCGTCCGTGGGATCCGCCGCCGCCAAGAGGCCGCCCGCGCGGGCGGTGGCCCGGGCGCAGCCGCCGCCGCTTTGCCGACCGCCGCCCCTGCCGCCGTCCTCGCGTCCCTCCCTCCGGGGTCTGCCGAAGGCGCCCCTTACCCCCTCGAGTCGTGAACAAGTCACGACGGCGAGTTGTTCTGTATTGTCTGCCTCTGGGGACCCTGACTGGGCCTCCAAAAGCCATTCAGGATGGAAGCCCAGTCCAGGGGAACGGGTCGAGACCTGTGTGGATCGACGCTGTGGAAGAATCGCGCCGGAGGGCACGTTCAATAGGACAGGTTCGCCAGACACGGTTCGCCAGACCCAGTTCGCCAGATTTGGTTCGCCAGACTCATCTCGCCAGACCGACGGACCCAGTTCGACAGACCCAGCTCGACAGCTTTGGAGAAGGGATGAGGAGGGAGGAGGAGGAGGAGGAGGAGAGGGGAGAAAGAGGCAGGGGGGATTGCGGAGGAGGAGGGGGATTACTAGGACGAGGAGCAGAGGAACGAGTAGTATTAGTTGTGTGCGTTTGAGCTGTATGAGCAGGCGGCCCAGGCGCCCGAGTGATGATTCATCAGAGTGAGGGGGCCGAACGGTCATTCGCTGTCCCTGGGTGCGCGGCTGAAGTGAGGCTCCGCGGTGCGGATTCTCGTTACGTTGCGTTGCGTTGTGTTGTTGTTGTCGTCGTCCCCGACACAAGAGCGACCCACACGCGACCCACCTCGCGACCCGCCCGCGACACGCCCGCGACCCACTTCGCGGCCCACCCCGCACCTGCCCCCTCACTCTTGTCCGCAACTGCGGGGTGCCACACCAGCTTCTTTGTCCCGCCCGATCGGCCTGCCCGCCCTGCCCTTCGGGCCCGCCTGCCCGCCCCGCCCCGCCCGCTCGGGCCCGCCCCGCCCCGCCCGCTCGGGCCCGCCCAGGCTGTCGGCCCGACCCGCCCGTGGGGGTCCGCCCGACGACCCGCCCGTCGGAGTTCGCCCGCCCTGCCCGCCCGTTAGCGAACGCTGGGCAGACCTCGAGAGCGACTTCTTGAAGTTCACATGCCTGTGACCGGGCTCCAGCCCGCCCGCGCCGCCCCTAAGGGGCCTGCCGGCCCGCCGGCCGGCGGACTCGCGCTTTTGCCCGCCCGTTATAGGGCGTTGGGGTTCGCCCAGCTCGGGCCGGACGAGGGGGGCAGGATGGGGAGAGGGGGTCTTCGAGAGCTGCTGCACGCAGCTGGTTTTTCGGCCCCGCCGCCGGGCCCACTCCTCCATGCATGGCATGGGCGCCTCCTGGCGCCAGGGGGTGCCAGGAAGACCAGCAGCGTGAGCTGACTCTCTCTATCCCAACCCTCTGCTATCCTGTCACTTCGCCCCCCCGACCGAACCGAACCGAGTGCCCAGCGTGATCGCCCCACAGTTTGATGTCCTTCGTTGCCCGTCCGTCCGCCCGGCCCTCCCGCCCGAGTGGTGCCCGAGCCTCTCGTCAAGGTCCTCCCGCCCGACCCGCTCGGTAGGCTTCCGCGCAAGTGGTGCGCCGACCTGGGCGGGGTGCGGCGTGCGGGCGCGCCCACTGGGGCAGCAGGTGAGGTTCCTTTGTGGAGGCACGGAACGAGTGACGGGTGTGCCGAAGCGGGCATGCGGACGGGGGCAGGAGAAGCAAGAGGAGGAGGGAGCGGGAGGGAGAGGAGAAGGAGGAGGAGAAGGAGCAGGAGCAAGAGGAGGAGGAGGAGGAGAAAGAGTCCTAGATGGGGTCCGAGTAGATGGGGTCGAAGGATCGCGCCGCATCGCCGATGCATCGGCGATGCGGCTCGATGTGGAGCCCGTGCTTCCCTGCACCGACGTCGCCGATGCATCGCTGACGTCGTCGATGCATCGCCGGCGCATCGCCGATGCATCGCCGATGTATCGCCGATGTATCGCCGATGCAGCGCGATCCTCCGACCACATCTACTCCGACCCCATCTAGGAGGCCTCTAAAGAGGAGGACGAGGCGGAGACGCGCGGCGATGCGGATTATATACGAGGGCTCGACAGCGCAAGAGGGTTGAGGAAAAAACGATCCGTGAATCTCGACCGACGACAGCGACGGCAGCGGCGTCGACCGCGACGACGGCGGGAGAGGTCTCCCCAGAAAGCCCCCAGGGTCCGACGAACGCTAGAATTGCCCCCAAGACTCCGTCCCTCGAACCTCGAAGTGCCACGGTGGCTGTGGCCACGACGCCGACAGCCGTGCCCGCGCATCGCAATTTCCAGCCGCAGCATCAAGCCTCGGAGCCTCGAGTCCCAGCCTTGGATCCTCGAGGCCCGACGACTGCGGCGACCATGGCGGCGACGACGGCGATGGCGGCGGGCACGTCTCCTGGGCTCCGAAGGGCCAATGGAACGTCTCTGAGGGCCTCCGAAGGCCCAAGGTCCAAGGTGCGTCGGCCTCGCGGTCGGAACCGGCGTCGACACATGTGCGTTTCCCCCCCTCGCTCCCTTTCCCCCTCTTCGTTTCTCTGCTTCCCTCGTTCCTCAACTTGTGCTGCAGTTGTAGATCTGGCCGTCTGGGCCTGTCAGTTCTTGCTATCACTCTTCATGCTGGCAGCCACGAGCCGGATATTTTTTTGCGAAGTACTATCTTCCGCTTCTTGGCTTGAGGACCCCCAAGCCTTGATATCCGCCTATCTGCTGCTCGTGTCTCGTCCTCACCCCTGCGAAAAACGATGTCGACTTCGGATGCGCGTGCTCCCGCGCGCATATGGCGCGTGGCGGCCGCGGTGTGCGCGATCAGCATGCGCTGCCACGGCCGGTTTCTTCGCGCGTGCCGCCGAGCTTGGCAGTGCACGGTCCTAGAGATGACGATCACTTCTTCCCGGGGTCCCGATAACGGGCCCCCGAGGGCCGAATCAGAGGAGATCATGTTATCATGTTCTGCCGCTACCGGCAAGCCCCCTCTCGGTTCGAACCGAGGGGGGGGGGAACAGCCTCCCGTTCCGAACCAGGGGAGTAGGGGGAGAGGGGGGGATTCCATTACAGCTGGATCCAGCCATGGTAGGATTCTGTCAGAGCTGGACCTAGCCTTTGTAAGATCGCATCAGAGCTGGATCGAACCCTGATAGGGTTGCATCACATCTGGATTGAGCCATACTCGGATTCTATTAGAGCTGAATCCAAGCCATGGTAGGATCCTACTAAATAGAGGTGGACCGAACACTAGTAGGATCCGAGTAGAGCTGGATCCAGCCCATCATATGATCCCATTAAAGTTGGATCGAGCCCTAGCCGGATTCGATCAAAGCTGGATCCAGCCCTGGTAGCAGTATTCGATTATCCGTAAGGGTTTCGCCCCTTGCCGCCGGCCCCCTCTCTATCATAATGGGATATGACAGAGTCGCGTCGGTGCGTCTCCGCGTTGCCTTGGCTCATCTGGGAACAGCATGTGGGGGCGGATGGGAATCATCCGCGCCTATTGAACCGTTGTCGTTATCGAAGACGCCTACGGCGAATCACTGCCACCCCCTTCCCCTTTGGAAACGCCTCTGTGGCCGACAGCTGGGCCAGGCTCCCCGCCATCGTGGTATGCGCGACGCTCGAGGAGGCGTCTATTTTCTCGGGAGTACGGGGGCTCCTCGCCCCGTCGGTCTCTCGTCTTTTGGGGTGTTGCTGTGGACTGGAGCTCAGGCTCCTAGCCCCGACACCGTCGCAACCCAGCATCCTGGCTGATGTCCGCCCGCCCTATTGTGCAGTCGAGGGCTGGCGGTCCGTGCTGCTTTTCCACTTGCAGGATCCTGCTGGTGGCCTTGTCTCCCCGCCGAACGCTGGCGGGGAAAATATTCTGCAGGATGTCACCGCCCCTGTCCCTGCAGGAAAACTCGTTGGGGTTGAAACGAAGAAAAAAAGGCCACAACTTGGCCAAGCTATCGGGCCAGTTGTTCCCCGAGTCGGTTTGGAAAGACTTCGGGGAACTCATGGGGGAGCAAGAAGAGGAGTAGGGGGAGGATGAGGAAAAAAGAGGAGGAAGAAGAGGAGGAGGTGGAGGAGGAGGAGGCCTCTTGGGCGCCTCTTGGGGCACTCTTGGGGCCTCCTGGGAGCTTCCTGGGGGCCTCTTGGATGGTTTTCGGGGGCCTTTGGGGGCTTCTTGGGGGCCTCTTTGGCCGTCGGAAGGCGTTCCTGGCTTGTCTGACGCCGTCGGAAGCCGTCTTGGGGGCCTGCCTGGGTCGTCTTGGGGGCCCTCTTGGGGCAGATCAGGGGTTCTTAGAGGCCATCTTGGGCGCCTTGGAGGCCTATTGGGCAGATTTTGGGCCCTCGTGGGGCCGTCTTGGGAACCTTTTGGGCCGTCATGGGGTCATCTTGGAGGCCTCTTGGGCGATCTTGGGGGCCTCTTGAGCCGTCTTGAGCCGTCGGAATGCAGAGAAGAAGTAAAGCCACAATCTTTCGAAATCCAAAGGAACACCACTGATTTTGGCCTCTTCGGGCGGCCCTCCTGGAGGACCTCCTGGACGCCTTTGGGCCGTCTTGGAGGCCTCTTGGGGGCCTCTTGGGCCGTTTTGGGGCATCTCGAGGCCATCTTAGGCCGTCTTGGGTGCATCGTGGGCCGTCTTGGAGGCAACCTACACGCGGTTGCGCGGTGGATACCGTCAGAGCTCAACAATGCCGACGGTCCTTCTCGAATTCACGGCCCTTCGAAATGGGCGGCGCGCGCGTCTCGGGGGGGGGGCATTTCAAGGCTGATGGGGCGCAGGCCTGCGACAAGAGGTCTGCTCTGGATAAGGCTACTGTCCCCCCCCGTTCCTCGTCGCTGCCTGGCCGTCCACCACCATCGAATCTCGTGGCCGTCTTGGCCCAAACTGGCAGGGCGTCTGCCCCTTCTGGCATCGATCGAGGCTCCGGGTCACAGGCTCTCCACCTCCACCTGGCGGGAATTCCAAAACAGCCCGCCGCAGGCGCCGAACTTTTCGATTTGTACACTGAACGCGGTTTGGGTCGCGGGTGGGTCGCGGGTTCTCCACCTAGAACGAATGCAAAAGAAACCCGCCGCAGGCGCCGAACATTTTGTGTGGGTCGCGGGTGGGTCGCGGGTGGGTCGCGGTGGGTCGCGGGTGGGTCGCGAGTGGATCGCGGGTGGGTCGCGGGTGGGTCGCGGGGTGGGTCGCGGCTGGGTCGCGGGTGGGTTTCGCGGATGGGTCGCCGGGGGGGTCGCGGGGTGGGTCGCGGGGTGGGTCGCGGGTGGGTCGCGGGTGGTTCGCGGGATGGGTCGCGGGTGGGTCGCGGGGCGGGTCGCGGATGGGACGACGACAACAACAAACAACAAACAACAAACAACAAACAGCAATAACAACAACAACAACAACAACAACAACAACAACAACAACAACAATAACAACAACAACAACAACAACAGCAGCAACAACAACAACAACAACAACAACAACCACAACCACAACCACAACCACAACCACAACCACAACCAAAACCACAACCACACCAGCAACAGCAACAACAATTACAACTACAACAACAACGACGAGAATCCGCATCGCGGAATTCAACTTCAGCCACGCACCCAGGGACAATGAATGACCGTTCGGTTCAGCCCCATCACTCTGACAAGGGATCGTGGTTTCGGGGACGCGGACATAGCGTACTTTTCGAAGGATCGTGTCTTCGGAGGCACGAAGACAGCGCAATCCACAAGGAATCATTGCGTCGGGAGCGCGCATCTTTCGTATATCCTCGCAGCCTGATGGCCCCGCAAGGGGGCCGGCGGATAATTGTATCAAGCCGTTGTATTGTTCCATTAGAGTTGGTTCCAGCCCTAGTAGGACTCAATTCGAGTAGAGTTGGATCTAACGGTGCAGGATTACATTCAAGCTCGATTGAGCCCGAGTAGGATTCCATTAGAGCTGGATCTAACCTTGGTGGCAGGATTCAATCACAGCCCGAGCCGCCCTCCCCCCCGGATCGAATTGGGGGAGCACCACCACCCTCCTTCCGCACACACACACACACCGCCCCAGTTTCGGCGGGGGGGGTTGGACCCTATCCCCCGGCGCAGTTTCCTGGAAGGGGGTCCAGTCAAGCGACGATAGGTCGCGTTCCCTCGTCCTGCAACATCGTGAAAAATCATGGCCAGAGCCCCAGACCCCACCTTCCTGGTATATTTTAGAGCCAGCTCTATTTGCGAGTGCCCCCAGGCCAGAAAACTGGGCGAGAATTCCCAGCTAGCAGAAAAATGATACGCAAGAATTTCGGGCGGGTTGTGGTCATGGGGGGGTGATTTACATGGGGGGTCGAAGGAAAGGTCACCCCCTTAACCACCCGTCCGAGGATCTCAGGGAACAATGCCCAGCCTTGCTCAAATCGATGAATTTCAGGACGTGTGTTAGCCCAATGGGTGTGTTACCCCCTTTCAGTCCAACCAGTAGATCATTACGTGGCATGCGTCGTATCGAAGGTCCTCGATGGACAAACGCACGTTGGGGCTAACATGCGGTCTTAAGGATCATCGATCAAGTCATACAGTCAACCAGTATAGTGAGGATGGGCAACCTTCCCAAGGGTACCCTTGCATCCTTGCCTCCTCGGTCCATCCTTCGCTGCTTTCGCTGGCAGCACCCCGCTCGAAAGGCTTCGAAATGGGCGTCCAGGGCCCTTGCATCCTTATCGCGCCTCCTCACTACACTGGTTGACTGTATTGTCGGAGACCTGGGACCTGCTCCTCCTCCTCCTCCTCCTCCTCCTCCTCCTCCTCCTCCTCCTCCTCCTCCTCCGGACGTGGGCGCTCGGGCACGGGGGCGTGGATGGCCCCTTTCCACCACCACGACCACGGGCAGGAGGAGGAGGAGGAGGAGGAGGAGGAGGAGGAAGAGGAGGAGTGGCGCAGTGGCGGCGACGCCCGCGCGGCCCGCGGCAGCCGCGAGGCCCGACGTGCGGCCCGCGGCAGCGGCCCGCGGCGCCCGCTCTCCCGAGGGCGGCGTCGTCCCGGCCTGCCTGGCGCGCCGCCGTCGGGTATTAGCCGCCGCTCTCTCTCGGCCTCCTCCTCCTCCTCCTCCTCCTCCTCCTCCTCCGGCCGAGGGATCGGGGGCGGAAAAGAGGGGGCTGATGACGAGAGAGAGGGGGAGGAGGGGGAGGAGGGGGAGGAGGGGGAGGAGGGGGAAGGAAGGAAGTGGGAGGAGAGAGAGAGTCTCGGGGGCGGAAAAGAGGGGGGTGATGACTAGGGGGGGGTGGATATCATGGCGCCGGCCATGATATTTCCCCTGATCTCGTGGCGCCTCTTCTTATTTCATGACGTCCCAGGCCCCCCCGCTGGGCCGCGCACATGCCGCCGGTCATGATTTGCACCCCCCCCTCTTGGACACCCCCCTCTTGGCCGCTCCCGAGAGAGGGGGCTGATGACGAGAGGGGGTGCAAGCGGGGGTCAGCCAGTCAGGAGCGACAGAAGGACGTACACGTACATGAATCCACGTCGGTTTCGAGAGTCTGCATTGCGCAAATGTTCGTATCACGCGGACGGTCTCGCGGATCGAGGGGCCGTGTTCGTGTACACGGTTGGGCGCGCACGTCTTTTGTAGGCTCCCTAGCCAGAGCGCCCGATCTTGCAGGAGCCTGCAGGGCCAGGGTCGCATTGACCAGGGTTTGGGTGCAGGATCCTGTAGGATCTGTCAGGATCCTTCGCGTTGACCCGGGTTCGGGTGCAGGATTTTGCAGGATCTTTCAGGATCCTGCAAGGCCCGACTGACCCTGGTCTGGATTGACCCGAGTCAGCTGATCCCCGAGGAGGTTGGGGGCGGCCAGGAGGGGGGCGATGACCAGGGGGGGGGGATATCATGGCGGGGGCCGTGACATCTCCCCAGATTTCGTGGCGCTTCTTATTTCATTACGTCCCTGGCCCCCGCCTGGGCCGCGCACGTGCCGCCAGCCATGATTTGCCCCCCCCCCCCCCCCCCTCTGGGCCGCCCCCGACTAGCCGCCGCCGCCGCCGCGCCGCCCCCACCAGGGTAACGGTAACGACTGCACGGGTTGGAAAGGGGAAAAGTATTCATACCGCTACTCTTGTTTCGTTTCTGGCTGGCGACGACAGCGGCGGCGGCGGAGGCGACGACGACGACGCTGAGGTGGGGCAGAGTCCTGGGTGAGGCTTCTTGGGGTCTCTTCGGAAGGCTCTCGGGGACCCCTGGGAGGGTCATGATCCGGGGAGGAGGGGTATGGGTATCCTGCTGCCTGCGGCAAGTCCCGCCACCGTGTCAGCCCAGCATGCTCGGCGGTTCTCCTTCGAGGGGGCACCATGATGATGCTGCTGATGATGATGACGATGATGTTGAGGATGATGATGCTGATTATGCTGATAATGATGGTGATGCTGATGACGACGATGATGATGCTGATGATGATGATGATGCTGATGATGATGTAAATAATATGATGATGCTTTTGCTGCTGATGATGCATATCATGCTAATGATGATGCTGATGCTGATGCTGATGATGGAAGGCCTTCGCCGCCATGGCTGGATTCGCATCGAAATTTTGGTCAGAATGCATCCCTGGAGAATTGGGTGAGTAGCAGTATTGGAAAGTTTTTGGTTCCCCAAGTAACGATTGTACGTAGGGGCGGGCCTGCAATTTCCCACCTCACATGCTGCTGCTCGCGCACTTATTGTGGTGATCGCAGCATGCCCCCGCCCCGACGTGCCCCACCCCGCCAAAGTGTTCCTGTTACCCTCGGCCCCACTCCACGACCGTTGCCGAACTGTTTGTATTTTCATGCGATCGCGAACATGGATCAAGGAGGCGTGGATTAGCGACGGGTCCCGTTTCCATGGGAAATCGCTGATTTCCGCCGCCGAACGAGGCGGCACCGGCCGCATTTCTGAGAGGGTACCTCCTCCCCCGGTCCATGGATTTGGCGACCGCACGCCAAATCCATGGATCGCCAATCCATGTTCGCGCGCCCCCGATATTCTTGGTGTAAGAAACATCCTCCGGGGACGGCAGCAGAGTGTGGTCATGCCAGGGTGTGGTTTGCGATCTGCGTCGCTGAGGTTTGGGGGGCACCACGTTGCCCTCGTCTGGCCGCCTCGAGGCGCGGCGGAGACCTCTGTCGGGGTCCTCGCCCGCCCTCCAGGGTCCGGGCTGCATCTCTTAAGTCGGGCCTGCTCCCTCTACACGAGGAGTACTCAACAGTAGTCAAAGAATATCCTGGGAACCATTTGTCTAGGATTATTGTTTTTTGTGGTGTTGGTTGCCGATGTCTGATTTCTCGTTTAACATACGCCTGTAGGAGGACATGCCCGACCTCATGCAAATCACACCTTTTGCAAAACGCACCCTTCGGACCCGCCAGCGCCGCCTGTTGGTCGGCGTCGGTCGTCTCTGAGCGGCCAGCCGCCTGTCGGTCGGTCGGTCTGCCATGCCAGCCCACAGCTCACACGAGTGGTGTGTTCAATTTGGGAGTTTTTGCCCAGTTCGGTCCTGCGGCTCGCCATTGAACGGCTGGATTTTCAGCCATCTACCCTTATTCTGGGCATGTCCCTCTACAGGAGGAATAGTCAAACATCGTAAACAATTGTCTGGCGATTGTTTTTCTTATCATTGTTTGATCATCTGTGCGTACATTTAGAGGTATGCTTGATTTTCGTCCAACATCCGCCTGCGGAGGATATGCCCGACCAAACTCGTACCCGCTAGGGAAGCTGTCCAGAGCTCCAGGGGTCCAGGCATGGACAGAGAAGTTCGAGCGCCAGACGTCTAGGAGGGTCGGCGCGAGGAGGGGGGGGGCGCGTAAGAATGCGGCGGGCCTTCGCAGAAGGCTCTGGGGGCTTCTGAGGAGGCTTCTTAGAGGCTGGGCGGGCTTCTAAGACGACCTCCTGCTTTCCAACAAGCTCCCCCGCCTTGAGAAGTCCCTCCACCCCCCTCGCACCACCCTTTTGCGCACGCCGCAAGCATCTCCGCCGAGGTCGTCGTCCACATCGACGGCCATGACGTCGTCGTCCTCGTCGGCGCTGGCGGACGTCGTTGTCGTCGGTGTCGACGACGTCGGTGGTCCCCATCCCGAGGGCTTTTCTAGCACATCTATGACTGTAGGGCCCACAACGATCGAAAATGGATCCGGGGCTCTTGTGATGTTTCAACCTACGTCAGCCTTGACCACTAGAAAGAATTTCGAGCACCAAGAAAGTATCGAAACTGGAGGGTTTTCGCGTGTCGCGCCCTGGGAGGCGATACTCGTTCGACACTGTTTCGACATTTTTCCGGGTGCTCGAACTTATTTCTGGGATACAGAAATAATTTCGGTGAGTTTGCCGAAGCCGCCGCTGGTCGTCGGTCGGTCGGGTCGGTCGTTGACGTCCGGGCTCATGGGTCTTAGCTTTAAGTCGGGCGTGTTCCGCTAGAGGAGGAATATACAACAACAGTTATTCAAACATAGTCTGGAGGCAACTTTTCTCTTTACATGTTTTGGATATTTGTCGAGCTTGTTTTTTTTATTGTTCGTCCAGAATCCGCCTGTAGGGGGACATCCCCGACCTAATATCAATTCTTGGCTTGTTGTAGGCTCCCAAGAGCCGTCGTAGATCCTAGGGACGTGCGCGTCGTTCTCGTCTTTCGTTCTTGCTGTGGCCGCCGCTTGCGGAGTCTCCCCTCTCGTTATTGCCTGTTTCTTTATTCTTGTTACTTCGGGAGGCTCCTCCAGGGAGATTCCTGGAAATGCTCGAAGGTCGGCCGCTGCTTCAGACCTCCAGAGGTTGCGGAACATGTGAGGGTGGTGGGTCGCCGCTCACAGACCTCCAGCATCGCCAACAGACACGACGTGGCGTTTGTTGTCGCGCTTCGGCGTCCCGGTGGCCAGTTCCAGGCCCGGGACCCACAGACCTCGGGGGCGGAAAAGAGGGGGGTGATGACTAGGGGGGGGTGGATATCATGCCGGGGGTCATGATATTTCCCCAGATTTCATGGCGCCTCTTCTTATTTCGTTACGTCTCTGGCCCCCCCGCTGGGCCGCGCACGTGCCGCCGGTCATGATTTGCACCCCCCCTCTTGGACACCCCCCTCTTGGCCGCTCCCGAAGACCCATTCAGACTTCAAATGTATTGATTTGGTCAATTCGTGGGTCCAGCAGAGAGACTTCGGAGGGACATGGTGCCAGTCGAGCCAGTGCCTACGGCCTACGGCACAGTGGCGGATCCGAAGTTTGGGGAGAGGGGAATTGCGTTACTTCTTCTAGAATCGGGATCCTTTCAGTCAGTTTTAGATTGGATCTCCCCCGTCCTCTTGCCCGCCGACGGCACACGCGGACGACGCTGCCGATCTCACCATGGCGGCCTGCGATCGCCGCCTGCAGGGGCTGGAATTTGACTGCGCAGGCCCAGCCGACGCGGCCCTGGCGGCGGTGCCCCCCCCGCCAGGGTGGCTGTCGAGGTCGGCCCTGGCGCCGAGGGCGTCGTGGCGCCGGCTGACGCGGCCGCCCCTGCTGGCGTGGCAATCCCCTTCCGTCGACGCCGTGATGCTCGCCGGCGCGCCCGACCCTGGCGGCGCCGGAAGCGACGCGGCGCTGGCAGGCCCGGGCGGTGCTGGCGCGCCTCGGCGGTTTCGCAGGGGGCCCGGGGGCCGGCGCGGCCGCCTGGGCCTCGCTCGGGCGTGTGCATTTTTTGTTCACCGCGCGCGTGCCGCCGCTACTCGCAAAGTGCATGCTGGCAAACGTCCGAAAAAGACATGTCTGCCTCGACGTAATGTCTCGCAAATCCCCCACCATGGCGGATCCAGGCCATGTGAGGGTAGTTACTTTGCGAGTCGTGGAACGCGCTTGTTTGTTTTTTCCCCGACGAGGACCATCGAGGAGCATCCTGGAGCATCGAGCAAGAATGAATATACAGAACACGCGCGACGAAAGTGAAAACGAGACATGCACGGGTAATGGACGTCCGAGCAGTGGCGAGGGCCGCGGGCGGCGCCAACCGCTAGCGGCCGCGTTCGCGGCGCGGACGCGATGCGGGCCTTTGGCTGCGGGCGCCGGCTCGGCGGCGCCGCGGCGGCGCCGCGGCGGTGGGCGGCGCTGCCAGGCTTCGAGCATTGTCGGGCTTTGGTTTACGACGTCAACGTCGACCACGACCACGGCAACGACCACGACCGCGACCGCGACCACGACGACGACGACGACGACGACGACGACGACGACGACGACGACGACGACGACGACCTCGACGACGACGAAGACGGCCGGAACGACCACTGCGACGACGGCGAGTACGATGACGACGTTTCAACTATGACCACGACGACGAAGTTTGCCACGAGGACCACGATCTCGACGACCACGAAGACGAACGACGATAGCGGCGTGCTTGACGACGACGATGGCACGACTCCCGAGATCCCCGTAGGCCTCCGGTGCTCCATGTTTGGAGCTGTCCAGAGTGTCTCCGATTTCTGAATTTATTTGCCCCAAGCTTGATTTTCTCGTCGACCCCTTGTGAAAACTACGTAAAATAGCTAGACTCCGTAGATCCACGGAGCATGGCAGGTATGTGTCGTAGATTCGACAGGGAATCGATTTTGGGTAAGTCGATTCTGTAGTCGATCCCCTACCCGAAGGCTGGGAGCCCGGGGGCCCGAGTGGCACAGCGCCCTCTGATGGGCGCATGGTCGGGGGCCCCCGTCGTAGCTTCGACCACACGTAAGAGCGACCACATGTAGAGCTTCGGCCACAACGACGAAATTTGCCACGAGAACCACGATCTCGACGACCACGACGACGACGACGACGATACCGACGACCTTGACGACGACGACGGGCACGTCTCCCGAGATCCCCGCAGGCCTCAGGTGCTCCATGTTTGGAGACGTCCAGAGGGTCTCAGGGATCCAGGGACTTCCAAAGCACGAGTCGGGCCTCCATCGCCGAACCTCGCGCCGATGCGGCCGTCGACGCCGTGATGCTCGCTGGCGCGCCCGACCCTGGCGGCGCCGGAAGCGACGCGGCCCTGGCAGGCCCGGGCGGTGCTGGCGCGCCTGAGGGGGCGGTGCTGGCCGGGAGGGGGCCGACGTCGGCGGCTTCGCAGGGGGCCCGGGGGCTCGCTCGGGCGTGCGCAGTTGTTGTTCACCGAGCGCGTTCCGCTATTCGCACAGTGCCTGCTCGCCAATCGGGCCGGACGAAAGGGGGGGATTGGGAAAGGGGGGGTTACGAAATTTGCTGCATGCAGCTGGTTTCGGCTTCACCGAGGGGCCCATTCCTCGATACATAGCCGCCTCCAGCGCTGGGAGGCGCCGGGAAAATCAGCTACGTGAGCTGATTCTCAAACCCCCCCTTTGCTATCCCCCCCTTTCGCCCGACCCGAGCCAACGTCTGACAAAGGCATGTCTGCCTCGGCGCAGTGTACCGCAAGTCCCCCGTGGCGGAGCCGGGCTGTCTGCGAGCAGTGACAGCGTGGCCCGTGGCATCGGGTGCACATTTTTCTCGGCAGTGAGCATTCGGGGGTGGACAGAACCCCCAACAGTGACACGTCGATTAGTGAATTGTCCGTTTTCGGTTCTCGAGAGGGCGCCGTGGCCGTTATTTTCCAGGCTTGCGCCCGCCAGCTTTGGGCCTCAGGTCGTTTTCACTAAACCACGTTGTACTAAAGGGGGGTCTGTCCATCCCCGAAGCATCGAGCAGCAGACACGGAGGAGAAAGCACGCACGAGAAGGACAACTATTCACGGGGCCTTGCAGCGCGCTCGCTCCAGCCTCGATCGGCCAGCCCGCGAGGACGGCACCTCGCGCCGCGCCGCGCTTCGCGCGCGCAGCAGGGGCCGGCGTGGGAAGAGGGGAGGCCCTCGCCGGGATCACGCTCGCCAGAAGTGGCGCCAGAAGGAGCGGAGGGGGGCTCGCTCGTCGTCGTCAACCTGGTCGGCGTCGTTGTCGGCGTCGTGGTCGGCGTCGTGGTCGTGGTCAACAGCGAGGTCGGCGTCGTGGTCTGCAGCCGAGGGTGGGCTGCTCGTGGTCGTCATGGTCGGCGTTGTGGTCGTGGCCGTGTTGGTCGTCGTCGTGGTGGTCGTCGTCGGAGTAGGAATGCGAGAGGGAGGAGGACAGGGCTCATTTCGATTCCTCCGATTCGATTCGATTTCGATGGCTTCCGATTCCGATTCGATTCGACTTAGGATTCCGATGTCGATGCCCATTTCTCATTAGAGGCCTTCTAGCCTGCCGATTTCTTCCGATTCGACTTTGCTCGACTCGGCTGCCCCTTTTTGCCGATCCGATTCACTTCGATCGCCGATCCGACTTATCGACTCGATTCTGGGCTCTCCTGCGGAGCAGGAGTGGGAGAGGGAGGAGGAGGAACAGGTCTTCAGGGTTTTTTGGCCGGCGGGCTCCGGCAGATTTCAGAGGCTCGCCGACGCCTTCTGGAGGTCACCAGTCAGGAGGGAAAGAAACACACAGACACAATTAATCCTCCATTCCCCAGAAAATATGGGAAACTATGGGAATTGGGGGGGAAGACAGAAACCCAGAAAATATACGAAAATATGGGGCATCATTTTATTTGTGTGTATTGATTTGTGTGTCCTGGGGCCCCTTCAACCAGGGGATGCTCGGGAGGTTCTAAAGACTTTCGTGCGCCATCGTCGTCGGCGTCGGAGGCTTCTGCACGTTTCTGACGCTCGTGGGTCCCAACGGCCGGACCGCCCTGAGGTCGCACTTCTCCTCTCCAGGAGAGTGGGAGATGTGGAGGTGTGAGATGCAGCTCAGTCCTCCTCCTCCTCCGTCCTCCTCCTCCTCCTCCTCCTCCTCCTCCTCCTCCTCCGTCCTCCTCCTCCTCCGCCGCCTCCTCCTCCTCCTCCTCCTCCTCCTCCTCCTCCTCCTCCTCCTCCTCCCCCTTCTCATCCTCCTCCTCCTCTTCCTCCTCCTCCTCCTCCTCCTCACATGGGAATGGGGCATGCGAGAGCTGCGCACTTCTACTCTGCATCGGTCCACCGTCTCCTGCTGCCAAGCGTCGTGAGAACCAGCAGGGGGTCTGGCAAGTCAGTGTCATCCGGAGCGGCGGCCCACCAGCGGCGTCGCTTCCTCGTTCGAGCTATGGCTGCATGACATCTGTGGTTCAGGGTTTAGGGAAGCCCCGAGCAGCGCAATCCGTTGTTGATCGTTTGTTTCATGGCGTGCAGTTTGGCCACCAAGTGATCGTTTCTTCATTCATTGTTTTGCCGATCGGCGCGGGCCCTCGCACCTCCCGCCCCCTTGGAGCAGATCTTGGCTGTTGTTGACGCCTGTTTCACGCAGGCTGAGGCTCCCCCATAGGACGCACTGCTGCAGACAGTGGCCCTGAGCAGAGGTCCGGAGCCAGACCACCCCCCCTCCCCCCCTCCTTCCGCCCAATGTCGAAACACCGAACAAGAAAACGCTCACCAACGAGAATGATGTAATCTGCAAGAGTCTGTTGAGTCCGTGCCTGCTTGCCTTAGCCAGCCAGCTTCGCTGGTTGATTGATGCAACTTGGATGTATGCCCGATACCAGGTTGTGGGATATTGTTTGATTTTGTTTGATGTACTTCTTAAGCTCTCCGCCGCCTCAAGCGGTGTGTGTTCAGAGCCTGAACGCAGCAGAGCCACAGGAAAGTGTGGCATTCACAGCGTAGCTGCTCACCTGAGTCAAATGCTCTAGCGAGCAGGACACTAGCAAAGCCCCAGAATAGAGCTGCGTTGACATTACAGCGGTCGCCGATGCACAACCAAAACTTGCATCCTTATGACTCATGACTGGCCGCAGCTTTCTGAATCGACATAGAGAGTGTCGGGCGTCCTGGAGCCAGCGGCCGAGGTCGCCTGGCATTATGGTTGTAGTTCTCTTGTGTCGAATGAGGTGTGTCTGGCACGTGGCCCCGTATCTCTTCCAGGGGTGCAGAAACGGATCGCCTACGGCAGGCTCGTGTCGTGTCGACGCGGCTGCGACCTCAGCGCGGGCGTTCAATGTTGAACGCCGCCAGTGGCACAGAACCGGCCAATATGCAACGGCGTGGCGCTCGAAAAGGGAGGAGCGGGGCGAGAGCGGAGGAGGAGGAAGAGGATGAGGCGTTCCCAGCCCCGCTTCCACACTGTCAGAACCTTGTCCAGCGATGGTCTGGAATAGGTCCACCTCCTAGCCCTTCCGAGGATGTGCTGGCCTGCCTGGAGGTGTGCACCTCGCACCTGACCGCGGCCGCCAGAGTTCGGGGGGGCCTCTTCTTATTTCAATGTGCCCCCTGCCCCCCCCCCCCGGGCCGCGCACATGCTGCCCGCCATGATTTGCGACCCCTCCCCTCTTTGGCGCCCCCCTCTTGGCCGCCCCCGAAGAGTACCCGGCCATGGTGTTGATTTGGATTGGTTGGTGACGCGCTGGCCGTCCCCGCGGTCCGCTTCATCATGGTCGTCCCAATTGGGGACGACATGTTGTACGTTGTGGGTTCGGCTCGGGTGCCACCTTCATCCTCGGTTCGAAAACGCCATAAACATACATTTTCGACGGTCCACGCGGATTTCCTGGATCGGCGCCTGGGCCTCCGTGGCGGCGCCTCCCGTGCCGCCACTGGCGCGCTCCGCGCGCCAGGGAGAGGGGTCCAGCGCAGATCCAAGACATCCGCGTGGACCGTCAAAAGTTTATATCAATTCTCGCTGCTTATATGCCTTTCTCGATGCCTTTCGGCATCTTGCACGTGTCCGACGTCTGCCTTGCTTTGGTGGGGTCAGTGTGCGGCTTACCTCCGCCGTGGGCCTGGCAAGACAGGCGCGGTGATTTCGGCCTGTAGTTCGTCGTGTTGAGCGAGGGGGTGTTCTTCCTCGTCGTGTGAAGCTACGTCTTAGATGATGCTTCTTGAGAATGCACTGTTGAGGCTACGCCGTTCACGACTACCGATTCCCTCTTCTTGTTGTTGTTGTTGCTGTTGCTGTTGTTGTTGTTGTTGTTGTTGTGGTTGTTGTTGTTGTTGGTGTTGCTGTTGTTCTTGTTTTTGTTATTGTTCTTGTTTTTGTTATTGTTCTTGTTGTTCTTCTTGTTCTTGTTGTTCTTGTTGTTGCTGGATTCTCATTTCTGAAGAACAATTATTGTTGATCCCTCCCACCGGTGCATACTGTTTTTTCTCGATCAAAGTGTGCCCCTCGACGCTCGCACCCTGGCTTCTAATAGGGAAAGTATTCCTGCTCAAACTGGACCCCTGGCTCCCGGGTTACAACAACAACGGCTCCCGCCTGAGACTTCCTGACAATTTAGCCAGGACCCCCGCTCCCGCCTGAGACTTCCTCGCATTTTATTCAGGAATCGCGCTCTCGCTTGGGACTTCCTTGCAGTTTATTCAGGAATCGCTCTCCCGGCGCTCTGGAGTCGCGCTCTCGCTGGAGACTTGCTTGCAACTTACTGAAGAATGGCTTCGCGTTGGAATTTCTTGCAATTTGCCCAAGCGCCGCGCCCCCGACACCCAGGCACCCCGGAGTCGCGCCCGTTGTGGCCCCATGTGCGTGCCCTTCGTGGCCCCGCTGTCGCCATGTGTGTCCCCCTCACTGTCCTACGTTGCCCAGTTGCTACCCTCAGTGGCCCCATAGTTGCCTTCTGTGGCCCCGCATTATCTGCATTTCGTGGCCCCCGCTCGTTCGCGCTCTTCGTGGCCCCATACGCATTCCCTTCGTGTCCCCGCTGTCGCCCTTCGTGGCCTACTTCGTGCCCTTCGTGGCCCTGATGTCGTTCTCTCTTGCTCTCGCTTTGGCTCGTCGTCGCCGTCGTCGTCGTCGTCGCAGTTGTCTTCGACGTCGTCGTCGTCGTGGTCGGTCCCCTGTCCGTCCCTCCTGGGGTCGGGTCGACGGTCCGCGGCCGCCCCGCCGATCAGCGCTGCCGCTGGCCAGGCCGACGGTCCGCGGCCGCCCCGCCGCTTGCTGGGGCCCGGCCTGCAGGGAAGAAAGGTATAACCCCCAAGAGGGGTTCGATCGAAGACGAAGAAGGCGGGTATCGAGGGTTTGAGAAATACGCGTTATATGACACTCGAGCATATACAGGGCGAACAGTCTTAACATTACCCCAGTGCGACCCGACCTAGAAGTCGGAGCCCCCCAGGAAAACAACTTTCGTTGCAATGCTACGCCATGCGATGCTACGCTATGCTCTGCTATGGTATGCTATGCTATACGATGTTGCGATATGATATGTTGTGCTATGCGGTATCATGATGCGCTGTGCTAAGCTATGTTATGCTATGGCATGCTAAGCTGCGCTATGCTATGCTTGGCTATGGTATGCTATGCGATTCTGCGCTATGCGATGCTATGCTATGTTATGCGGCGCGTGGCTATGTTTTGATATGATATGATAATGCAGCGCTGCGCTATGCCAAGCTAAACTAAGTTAAGCTAAGTTAAGTTAGCACTCTTAGGCAAAACCTACGTAGGGAATTACACCCATGCTATGCTCTGCGATGCTATGCTGCGCTGTGCTATGCTGTGATTTGCTGCGCTATGCTATGTTATGCTATGCTATGCTATGCTGCGCTATGTTATGCTATGATATGCGGTGCTGCGCTATGCTACGCTATGCTGTGTTGTGCTCTGCTATGTTAAAGCTCATCGAAGCTAAGAGGAAGGTAAGCCAAGCTATGACAAACCAGAGTTAAGATGAAGCGAGGCAAACTAATATGAAATAAGCTGAGCTAGGATGAGAAAAGCAACGCTAAGCTAAGGGGGCGTAGCTGGGGGAACCTCGGGGCGGATACTGGAGGAACCGCCCGGGGCGTTTTCCACTGCCTGGCCCCTTTAAGCCCAGAGAGTAAGAACCCTTTTAGGCAGAGCCTAGGTAGGGAATTATTGTTGTTGTTGTCGGTCGTCCCGGCAAACGGTGGGCCGCACGATGCTCGCAG